TATATGTATATATACATACATATACATATATATATATATATATACATATATATATATATACATACATATATATATATACATACATACGTACATACATATATATGTATATATTTATATATAGCAAAGGGATAGCTTTATAAATTATTAGCATTTTGTTAAGCAAAAGTTGGGAACTGTTGATGCTACAGCAACAAGAAGTTTACCAATGTAAATACGTGAATAAGAAGTCATGAAACATCTAGTTTGGCTTTCACGAACCAGAAGCAGCAAACTCAAGTCCCCGTATCATTTCATTGAGCACTTATCTCAGTTACCTGATCATTTATCAATCAGCATTAAACTACTTGGATCATGTCATGGTTAACCTTGCTATGCAACAAAATCTTCTTTAACCCATTGTCCACTTTTTAAAGAATGTTTACTTTATGTTACAATCAATTCTATCAGGAACTTCTTAAAAGAGCATTTTAACAACACAAGCCTATTGCAGATTCCATGAGCCGTAGAACCTAATATCTTATATGTAATTGGCACTCGACCATACATTCTCAACAAAAAAATCCATTTCCACATTTCTAGGACCTTAATAGCATAACAGACAATTATATAGCTACACTAAAACCCATACAAGAAGCCTATTGACCTTGCTTCAAATTAGTTTTTATCTTTTCTATAGAAGATAACTACAATTCTGCCTACTTCAATGATCCTTCATCTTACCAACAGAAACTTGCATCTTGCATGATAGAGGACCACCAAAGGAACTCTAATCCTAAAGAATTTGTCAACAAATTCTTCCTTGTATCAAGCACTACCACAGACCGATGACTATGTGGTGCCCACGATAAATGATATACACTAGGCAACAAGTTTAGCATTCTGTCTCACCTGCCATGTCAGAAATAAGTGCGAAAGGTGCTCCCAAAAGTTAAAAGCATTAGGGAATTAATCAACGAGTATTGTTGCACAAAAGCTGAATGCTTCAGTACTCATAATCAACATATGAATGAATAAATATAGAACATTCAAAATTTTAGAGTTGGATTACAAGCACTTGGTTTACAAACATCCCGAAAGTTTACCTTTTCCATCGTCCACTGGCGTAATCACCGTTGCCTGAGCGATCCTTTTCAGATGATACATTGGTGGCAGCTCCAGGCTTTGCAGATGGACCAGAATCGACCATCATCTTCACAACCGTTCCAAATACCCCGCGCGCCCTACACGCCACAACCCAGGCTCCGCAATCCGGGAACAACTCGAGTCCTCTATCTGCCCCTCTTCTGCTAAAGTGGGATCCTCTGGGTTCTTTGTCCGACTGACAAAGTTGCCTATGCCGGCATTACATACCATCGAAGCTGCTTGCTGATGGCCTACAATGCCAGAACATTTCATGCGAGAAATCAAAGAGAGGAAAAAAAAAAAGGAAAAGTAAATTGCCGCAATCCGTCACAAAAAGCAGATCTTGCTCGCTCGATAAGTATAGATTGAAACAGAAAGGTAAAAAAAAGGTTCCTTCGTGGAATCTGATCTATGATTTTTTTCGACTATCAAGATAACATCCATGGATCATCCAAATCAAGAATGCACAGACTAGAGAAAACGTAAGACCCAATAGTAAATCCAATTCACAGAAAACGAGCTACAACAAAAGGTATAGATACTCAACAACGGAACCTTCTGATCGAAAGCCTCGTCGATCCGACGACCAAGCACCCAAGGAAGCCACCGGCGCCGAGATCTTCCGAAGCTTACAAAGTGGAGGGCGATAGGGATCTGCGATCCGGAATCCGACTTGGGATTTCGGAGAGGGCAGCAGCGATCGGAGGAAACCCGAGAGATAAGGAGGAGGAGGTGGAGGAGGAAGAGGTGGTGGCTGTTTCAGTTTTAGCTCAAATAAACGGAGAGCGAGCTCGGCGGAGCGAGAGATGGGGAGTTTTGTTGGGTTGGCACGAGGGAGAGCGAGAACGTGGCATGGTGGTAGCAGCAGTGCTATGTCGGTTGCCGTAGCAAGAGTCGTGCCCGTTACGAACAGATTGTAGCGCATGGTGACGCGTAAACCGGTTTGTGATACAGTTACAAATGTAAAACGTATACAGTGTACTTCTCTTTTTTTGGTAAGTGGTGTACTGTATATACAGTACACTGTGTGTACAGTGTACTTCTCGACGTAACGTATAGAGAAATACGTATAATTTCACATCCACCTGAGAAGGTTGTACATAATGCGTACTTACATTATATATATATAATATGTGTATCTATGTATGTATGTGAGCGAGAGATTATGACCACTGCTGCTGCCTTCCGTTTCACTGCAGTTTATACTTAGTAGTAGTCACTTCGTTTTCGAAGAAAGCAGCCAAAAATGAAGGATATCAAATGCCTTATCGTCTCCCATTGGCAGCCAATTTGTCGGTGGGGACTTTTTATTGGCTCCAAGACATTATTAACCCATTGTGAAAGGGTTGTGCAGATTATTAGCATAATGATCGGAAGACATTTTCCCGCTGTTTTTGAGGGTGTTTGTCTGGGTCAAATGGATTTGGTCAACCATGCAAGCGTTTCGGATCGGTGGCGGAGACAGCGGCGGTCTCTCTGTTCTGCTGCCATTGGTTTGCTTAGGATTCAAACCATATGCTTACAGGACGCACGGATCTGTTCTACGTATCCCATCGGAAAACGCCTGTAAGATGAGAGCTACTGTCTCATGCAACTTCAGTAACTTTTCAGCTGACACCAATATGGGTTGACGCAGAAATGCGATGAGGACCAGCATAACGTCGATAGTGTAAGAGACATGATATCACCACCGAATCATGCATAACGTAGATGTAGAACCCATCGAACGTATTGTCCGAAGCGTGCAGGGGGCGTCGGGTATGCACTCCCACGCTTGCCTCCTCGTTTGCTGTCCTTTTCCGAGTTCCGAAGAAGAAAGCAAGCGACTAATCTAATAAACAAAGCAAAAGCACGTAATTTGGAGCGCTGGGCATTTACGGCTGCCGAATGGGCGCGACTCCATGCGAGATGGCCGGCGAAAAGGCTTCCGCCCCGGCAGATTTGATTCTTAAGTAACCGCTCCCGATTAACTGCTCCTTCAATGCCTGCAACAGTTCACTCTCTTTAGCAGTGGGAAAGTGATGATGAAGAGCAGATACGTTGTGTTGGAAAGCATCGTAGGGGAGAGGGCCAAGTATCGAGAGACGGGTGTCCGAGGAGCGCCACCAGATGCTTGTCTTTTCCTCTTCTCAGCCGTTTTCGGCCACTGAGACTCCCAATCGGAGGAAGAGAGAGAGAAAGGAGCGATGATGTCTAAAAAGTTGCACAGACAACCACTACTGCTACATGCTTCTCTCCATAAATACAGGTCCGGCGCTGTATCACCACCTCCCCAGACCAGGTTCTTTGCTAGACGCTTTCTTGCAGTCATCTTCTACCGTGGTATATGAGGAGTTTAACTGAGAGAAGACAGCCACATTGAACCGTACATCTACGTGATTTTGTTTTGGTGTTTAGAGGTTCGTCATCCTCTTTCTTGAGGGATTTCTGTAGCTTCCTCTGCCGTCTTCCCAGATACCGCTTGCAAATGGCTGGGCTAATCGTGGTGCTGCTGGGTATGGCTATGCCACTGGCTTCTGCTGAGCATGACTATGGGAAGGCTCTTAGCAAGAGCATTTTGTTCTTTGAGGCCCAGAGGTCCGGGTACTTGCCCGGCAACCAGAGAGTGAAGTGGAGAGCCAATTCTGGGCTGCTTGATGGCAAGGCTAATGGGGTAAGCTCCTGCAAATTACTCTTCCTCCCTGTATGCCTAGTTCTTAAGTTGACCATTTGCGGTTGCCTTTTTCCTTGTCATTTGCACTTTTCTTTTCTATGTTACAGTGCTTGAGCCCGAGAGGCAATTGTGCGGTTTAAGAGAGGAAGAGTAATTCCATCTTTACCTTCATAAATGTTCCTTCTTCTTCCTTAATGCTATATATAGGTTGATCTTGTTGGAGGATATTATGATGCCGGAGATAATGTGAAATTTGGCCTTCCTATGGCCTTCACCATCACCATGATGTCCTGGAGCATAGTCGAGTACGGCAAGCAGATGGCTGCAAGCGGGGAGCTTGGTCATGCCATGGAGGCCGTCAAGTGGGGCACTGACTACCTCATCAAAGCCCACTCAGAACCTTTTGTCCTCTATGGAGAGGTGAGAATTCCTTCTTAGAATGAACCCCCTATCTATTTATCGTCTTGTCAAAGCAAATGTGATTTCAGCTATGAGTATCCTTGTTGAGTTCTTTAAATTGTCGAACAGCATCATGGCTGTTTGATTAATAGCGTTCAGAGTTTAGTGACTTTTACCAGCTTCCTATGAAGCTGCTTTGTATGTTTCCATGCTCTCTGCTCTGCCCTGCCCTGTAAGAACAGAGGTCTCTTCTTGTCTTCTTTCACCTCTGTCGGTAAACTAAACGTTTGCTGGGTTCTCTCTTTTGAGACGTGGAAAACATGTCCCGTTGCATCACAAGACGAGCAGCAATTGCACATGAGCATCGTGAAGTGTATCCTCTCATAAGTGCCAGATGTCTCGCATAAGACAGTAAAAAATTCTTATGATTTCTCCATATTTGGTGACCTTGATTTAATTCCGAGTTGATCGATCTCTGCAGGTGGGTGATGGAAACACAGACCACTTCTGCTGGCAGCGGCCGGAGGACATGACGACGAGCCGGCTGGCCTACCGCATCGACGTCAACCATCCCGGTTCGGACCTTGCCGGGGAGACGGCGGCGGCGATGGCTGCAGCTTCCATGGTGTTCCGGCACTCGAACCCAGCTTATTCATGTCAGCTTCTCAGCCACGCGAAACAGGTTCCAAGTCCAAGACAAACTGCTTTCTCTCTCTCTCTCCCTCATGGTTATCATCGATCTTAAATTTAAACTCCTGTTGTTTCCTTGTGTTCCCAGCTCTTCGAGTTTGCCGACAAGTACAGGGGGAAGTACGACAGCAGCATCACGGTGGCCCGGAGGTACTACCGATCCTACAGCGGGTACGGGGTAAGTTGAACGGTCCTGATTCCATCATTCGCGCGGTAAATCATCGATCGGGCGGAGGGGTACAACCTAGCGATCTTTCACATGGTTCCGGACCTGGTTTCCCGGCGCAGGATGAGTTGCTGTGGGCAGCGGCGTGGCTGTACCATGCGACCCACAACCGCTGCTACATGGACTATCTGGCTAATAACGGTGGCTCACTCGGTGGGACGGGGTGGGCCGTGACCGAGTTCGGTTGGGACGTCAAATACGCCGGTGTTCAAGTCCTCGCGGCTAAGGTCTTCTCCCTACTGTTGATGTTCTCAGACATGTACATGTATCATAGCATCATTGCCCTCACTGTGTGTCTGGCAGTTTCTCCTACAAGGGAAGGAAGCTCAACATGCACCAGTGCTGGGGAAGTACCAACAGAAGGCAGAGTACTTCCTCTGCTCCTGCCTTGGCAAGGGAGCACACAACGTTCAGAGGACCACCGGAGGCCTATTGTTCCGGCAGCGGTGGAACAACATGCAATTCGTCACCAACGCCGCCTTCCTACTCACCATCTACTCCGATTATATCGCATCTGCCGGAAGAAACGTAGCCTGTGCCGCTGGAACCGCATCGCCTGCTGAGCTTCTTTTGTTCGCCAAGTCTCAGGTAATCTGTACTTGTTGTTCGAAAGCCGACTTACTAAAGAATCAGAGGTAAAGATCTCTGCTTGCACGATGTCTCATAAGCATTTCCTTCAGGTGGATTACATACTAGGAGACAATCCAAGAGGCACCAGCTATATGGTTGGCTATGGGAAGTCTTACCCCCGACAGGTCCACCATCGTGCCTCCTCGATTGTCTCCATTAAGGCCGATCCCTCGTTTGTGAGCTGCAGAGAAGGCTACGACACATGGTATAGCCGAAAGGCTCAAGATCCCAACATCCTCGATGGTGCCATAGTCGGCGGCCCTGATGTCTACGACGACTTCGCCGACGAAAGGGACAACTACGAACAAACAGAGCCCACGACCTACAACAATGCGCCCATGCTTGGCGTATTGGCTCGGCTTCACGCTGGCCATAGTGGCTACAACCAGCTCTTACCAGGTAGCTAAAGCACCGCTGCAACTTCTTTTGATCTATGATCAGCTGTATAATGCTGTTCATCTTTCTTGCAGTCGTGCTCTCTATCCCTGGCGTACCTGTCAAGAACAAAGACGGTAATCACATTCCTCCTCCTCAGCCATCCACTCCATGTAGGTTATTCACATTCAAGAGTAATTCTCTCAGTACCGTCACTGTTAATTCTTCTGCGATAACTTTGTGCAGTGACTGCACTCTCTCCGCCATTCACAATTGAGCAGAAGGCAACCACGTCATGGGAGTCCAAGGGAAGGATTTATTATAGGTACTCCACAGTGGTGACTAACAAATCATCAAAGATTGCAAAGGAACTCGTTATCTCAATATCGAAACTCTATGGACCTGTCTGGGGACTCGGCAAGTCCGGCAACGATTACACATTCCCGGCATGGCTGGACTCTCTCCCGGCAGGGAAAAGCTTCGAGTTTGTCTACATTCACTCGGCTTCTCCAGCTGACATCATAGTTTCAGGCTACACATTCGTGTGACTTGTGGTGCGACATGTTCAGCAGCTTATGTGGTCCGTGACATCCCCATCTCCATTTTTTGTCTGTGGGTGGCGGTGAAGTTTAGGCGTCTTAGTCCTTTACTCAGACTGCGTAGAAAGGCGTGAAGGAGCTCATGAATTGCTGATCCTCTTTTTCCTTAATCAGCCTAGAAAATAGTTAAAACTCTGCTCGAACACGATGGGGAAAGTCTTCCAAAGTGATGTGTAGCTGTTCCTGGGCGAAACAGCGGCTAATATGTAATTAGTTATATTTGGTAATCTATTTTTTTTATATTTTTAAAAATTATGATAAGATTTTTAGATTTATACAAAAATATTTAATTTTATTTCTTTTCATATCATTCGTTTTGTTGAAGAAAATATTTTATTTGTTATCATGTGTAAAAAATAATGTTAAAATACGGTTAAAAAATAATTTTATAACTCCATCGATATTAATTTTTTCCTCTATAACTTATTTTGTAAAACTAGTTCTATAATAGTGTGTGAACGAGCCAAAATTAGTGTTTTACTTTCTAATAAAACTTAAAACATTAAAAAAGCTGAAGCAAGTAAATTTGTTTGCAAAATTTCTCTCTTTTGATTTTTTTTCCTTTGGACAATGAGAATAATGATGTGAAATTACTTTTTTAATCATGGTTTTACATATTTTTTGCACATGACAACACGTGTAATATTTTCATCAATAGAGTTGAGAGGAAACTAGATTAAATATTTCATTTCCTTAAATATAAGGATCACAATATAATTTTTTTGAAGTATAAAGATCGAGGGTTAAAGATAATTAATCACAAAGTGTAATATATAATTCGTCCCATTAAGGTTATACTGTATATCATATATAGTGTTTTGGTTCACCCATCACGTTCTATTGTAGCCTGATTCAATCCCAAAGGCGTAGATCCATCCTTAGGAGCCCATACACAGGGCAAGGGAGGTGACCCAAGCAAGCAATCAAGGTGATAGATGGACTCCAAGGTGTTGCAAGCTCTCAACGACTGATCTATGATCATCTCGGGGAGTGGCTTATTTGTTGAAGGAAGCTCGAGATCATACTGAGGTGCACCTTGGCCTTCTAGATATGCTCAACATCATTGCAAGGTACTCTTTAGATGTGCTTGGGTCCTGCATAAGCGATCGACATTGGGGGGATATCCCTACCTAACATTTCCAATGCTAAAAAAAGTTTAGATAGCTGACAAGCACAATGTCAAGGTAGGACGATGAATTAGGGTGTTCCTTACCCTGTTAGGGGATCATTGATGGTGACAGCTGACAAGTGCATCCGACAATGTCAGAATAGGATGCCCATGATAATATATTTTGTCAGGGCTCATGGCCTATCTAGGATAGGCAGAGGATGGCCCTTTGTATCATTCAAAATGTAACATCGAGGAAGTTACGTCATGCCGCCTAGCTCCAATGCATGCGTACATGTCTTCCCTTAACTATGATTGAGGTGATGGGGTGAGTTAACAGCGTTGTTATATTTTCTATTAATATCTTAATATATTATAAAGATATACGCCGAGTCCAATTAGGTGAGTCATGCTGTATACAGTTAGTACATTTGTGGGATTTGATTGTACACCTGGGTGTTATGTATATGCGGAGTAAACTGTTATCAAACTAAATTGATACAGGAAGCAGAGAGACCATTAGAATGAGAAAGGAGCACCCGCATTGAATGGCTGAGCTCACAGGTGGTGGACAACCTTTGCTTGACCTGTGCATGAATAATTGACAGATACTAGCTTGTCCAATGACACGAAGCTCAAACACGCGTTTACCCATCGAACCACAAAGTCCTCAAGCTGCCGTTCCACCAACGAAAGAGTGAAGGGTGGACTTAGGTTTCATGTATGTGGAAGTCATCAGAGAACTCTAATCGATGATGCCAAGAACAGTCGAAATTGAAATGCAAATGTTTGTCATCGGTTGCAACATAGGCTCTCTAGAACCTCTCATCGCAGTCGGACGGATCACATCGAGACCTCTATAGAGCATCGACCGAAGACTTCCCAACACATGTCGAGTCAAAACCGAGTCGAACTAATCTACCATTCCATGTCGGCTGCCGACGCTATCAGAAATCACTTCTGTTTCGAACGCTGCTCGTTTGTTTCTTGTTGACTCTTCTCAAAATAGAAACAGATTAGCGACTGTCTCAGCTTTGTTTCACGTTCATAGGCACAGAGGAAATGATAAAAGAAACCCTGTGAATCAACGACAAAAGGATGCAAACCGAGAAATTTGAGGGACATGTGAACCGAGTTGATACTTTTGATTGATTACACAGAAAGCATGTCCGCTGAACACGACCAAGAATTGACTGAACCATCGCAGCACACGCTATGTTTTCATCACCCCAAACTCTTCTCAGCAGCTCTCCGGAATGCTCTCAAGCACCGGTCTCCAGTAGTCCATGCCTCCGGTGGGGTTGCCACTGCACCCTCCGGCTCCTTCCAGTTCGCACTGCATCTTCTTCTTTGCGCCATCGTCGCTGGCGGCAAGCATGGACAGAAACCGAGCTGCCTCTTTCTTCGTTATCACTATCTTTACTCTTACGACCTCCTTCTTGCCGCCGTCGTCATCCGCGAAGCGAACCGAGCGCTCCGGTCGTTCAGGGGTTGCCTTCTCCCTTTTGCTGGGCGCATGAGCAGCTTGTAGCGGTTGCCTCTTCTCCGGCTGAGTCACCTGCAGGTCTCTTGGAGCCACAGCACATCGTGGTCGACTCTTGGTCCTCCTGGACTCAGGAACCAAGCAGTTCCCCATATGTGCGTCTGTGTGTCTGTGAGAGAGAGAGAGAGAGAATGGTGAGAGGTGGAGAGAAGCGGGAAGAGGCGGAGCTGCTTTATAGTGTGATTAACGTCAGAATAAGGCAGAGTTTAGGAGCAAATTGGAGGTGGCATTGGGGAGCAAATTGGTATGGTGTGATGATGAATTCTCCTAATTGCTTGGACCCAATGCCACCTCGAATGCAAATTGGAGGTGGCAGGTCTCCTTCAGGACCGGTTCAAAGGAGACTAATGAGGGCTGTCATGTCTACGTAGACTTGGTAAAGAGCCAATGAACAATGGGACCTTTCAGGAAGTTTGATACTACGAACATAAACACATACATTGAAAGACATGTAGGTTTCTGCGTCAGCCTCATGCATTAGTACAGTATTATTATTTTAAAAGAGATTACTGTATTATATTATTTAATCTAAGTAAAAAATATATTATAAATATAATTATAATTATAAATAAAAAAATTTAAATTATACTAAGATTTCTTAAGAGATGATAATGAATTCTCCTAATTACTTATTTATCTTCTCTTTATCTCTACTCAATCGTTATAATGATATTGTGAAAGGTAAAAAAGATGAGTATTATATAGATAAGTATTCGATAGTTTTTTGATTCGACGACGACAGTGCACTTATAGATCATATAAAGATTTTTTAAATAATATCATAAAAATTACTTATCATAAATTTAATATATTATTATTTAATTTTTTTAGTATTAAATTTTTTTTGATAGCATTAATATATTACGATTTTTATGTTAGAAAGATATAAAGAAAATAAGCATAATCTTAACCTTGGTTTTCGTGTAAGTCAGTCGTGTGCATCTCAGCTACGACTTCCAGTGCTTTCATTCATCGGAGTGCATTCAAGAGCAGAATTAGTCAGCGGCATCGTCGTTCTCGTGGAATCGGCTCGGCTACGTGAGCCACACGTGCATACCGTGGCATGACCTCTGCTTCCCCAAGGCACCTCGATGACACAGTAAACTCTTATCTTCTTATCTTAAACTCGTGGTTACAGGACCGCGCTTCTTACTATTCGGACGTGGGATTCCCAGACACCTGAAGAAACTTCATCGCCTTGCTATTTATCCAGCGATGACCAGTGATGAGCTGCGGCGACTTTACTCGTCAATAATGCTGTGAGATTGACCACACTTTTACTTCAACGTTTGCAAGCAAGTTGCCCATATGTGCCGTGGAAGAAGGGAGAGATCGCTAAGTGAGGAGATGAGAGAGATCACGTAAATCCATAAAACCCGAGGTCAGAACGAAGAGCCAATGTCGAGAGGTAGACTTCAAGGACGCATGGACAAGTCTGGCTGCTGATGGCCAAAAGCCAATGACTTGTGCTCTCAATTCACATGCAGATGAATTGAGACTTTTTTTTTGGGATGTTCATAATATATTTTCTTAGGATTAATTATAAATTATCTTTTATAATTAGTTATTTATTTTTATATTTTTAAAAATTATATTGAGATCTTTATATTTTTTTTTACTAAAGTGAAATATTAAGATCCTTATATAGGATTAAAAAACTAATTTCATAAATTAAAAAAAAATTGTTGGAGTAATGGATTTACATATTTCACTTTTATAAATATAGAGATCTTAATATAATTTTTAAAAATATAAAGATTAAAATGATAAAGTGCACGAGTGAGCTACATCGAAGAGTTTTCCTTCAGGTATCGCGTCTTGGGGATGTTTAGCGGATTGGATTTCTTGATGCTCGATTTGGATCCACTTAATTCGACCCACCTCATCAAAGGATCGGATCGGATCCGGATTGGATCGGGTCCGGTCCTCACTAATATTCGTGTCCCAGCAACCGACATCCCGCCACCGTGAAACCCTCCGGGCGATTCCCCTCTCCTCTCCGACGAGCGAGGAGGCGGATGTCTTCGAATCTCCTGGGGGTGACGCGCTCCGGCCACGAGGACGTGGAGTGGCTCGAGCGGCTCATCGTGCGGGAGCTCCAGCGCGAGCCGGCGAACGACCGCGATCGTCATCTAGAGAAAGCAGATGGAATTGCCTGTAAACCAGCTGGATCAGCTGATCCCAGTTGATCGTCACTTGATTTCAGCTCGGAATAAGAAAAGGTGAGAAAAGAGGAAAGAGAGGGAGCAATCCAGTGAGCTTATTCTCCGTAATGCGAACCCATCACATTTTTTAGCTTAGCAGGTTCCGCGAAGACCTTAAGGAATTTAGGTGTCTATTTGTCTACTTCTAAGATTGTCGACATGCAACATACTTGCTAATATTGTGAATTCACATTAATTTACTCCCCATACATGGATGGTTGTAGGATTACAAATGCCAATTAGTATTCATGTTGATCCTAACGTACTGTATGATGATGAAATTTTGAATTAATGACTGATGTTATGAAGTTCTGACTGTAATTCATTCTTATAAGTGAAGTTGCAATAATTTGTGAACAAAATTTTGTACTATAAAACTCAGGAACCCCCTTATCCATCATCTTTCTTAAGGATGATGTATGTGTATGTTATTCGTATGTGTTTTTTTTATTATTTCTGAAATATTCTTGAGTTCATCTTCTATTGAAATTATACTGATTAGTGTTTTTTACAAATTAGTTTAATTTTTAATAGTTGAACTGCATTTTTTGCTCGAACACAATTTGCAAACTTCGTATATTGGTACATTGCTCTCTTGTGGGTGGTTAGATTTCTCTCACTAATTTTATCATAGATGAATGATGAGAGAATTGAGTAACGAGATGCAACATCGGTTGTCTCTTTCATTGCATGACGCTTGTATGTGATGATTTGTGCATAACACGAGAGCTTCCACGTGTCAACCATATTTTAGAATTTGGGATCTGGTATTTGGAATGTCAGATAATGCCATGACCTTTTCGTTTTCTTGGTTGGCTTTGGTCCTTTTTCTCTGTTATATATATCTGTTCCACTGATATACGTAGTTGGTTCAGTCAGGAGGTTATACAAGCTGATACTATTCCTTATTGTGGGCAATCTAATTTGGTCTGATTGGTGTCAGATTATCAATGAATCTCTTATCACTGAATCCTAATCTAGGTGATTAACTACCTCTATCCGCCTAGCCTTCATGCTCTTAATATGCATTTTATATTTCTGCATCTATTGGCACGACTAGCAGCGGGTAGTACATAATGCTAGAACGCTTTTAATTACGAGTACTTGGGAACTTAATATTTCCTTGCCACAGCACTAATTTGGGGAATCAATTTCATGATTTAAGTCATCCTATTGTTGCGAACAGATAGCAATAAACAAGCTGTCCATTTGTCACTGCGGTGTGTATATATATATATAATATATATATATATATATTACACAGTCCATTTGTTACTGTGGTCTTCCTCAGCGTATCTCTGTATCATTACTCTAAAAACTTTAATTGAACCTTCTAAAAAAATCATTGGAACCTTGTAAAAAATGATTGATTCTGTAAATTTTAAAGTCAAATTATAGATAATTTTCGTCATCTCTCACGTTGTGTTCATTTGACTGAAAGGAACCATACATACAGTCTATTGGTTTGGATTTGTACAATTTGATTTGTTTCATTTTTAAAAGTATTTCTTTGTTTCTTCTATAGACGTTTTCATGTTCATTCATATAGAAGGTTATGGCCAAAAAGGATGAAGATCTTATATATGCACACGTCTTGCTCGTGGAGAGTGGTGTACAATTTGATTGTTTCATCTAAAAATTGTTTTTCGTTTCTAAGTATGTTCATTCATATAGAAGGGTTCCTCGTCTATATGAATCCATATTGGCCAGGAGGCAAAAGAAGTGCGGGAGAAAACACAAGATGTGGGTTCCTCGTCTCCTTCCTCTCTGCAGATGATCCTTCTGCGGCTGAACCTGATGCTCTGCTGTCAATCCTGTCTGAAGGACCTCCGAATATTCCCTCTGAGAAGCCGCCAGTTGTGTATGGTTCTAGTTCTTCTACAGTGGAGAAACCGAGCGCACAGGTGAGCATGCCCAGGTAAGCACAAGGAGTGAGTCAATCAGGGTTTGCAGGTCAACTTTCTTTCCAAGCTATGCCTAGAGCTTACATGCTAAGGAAGTTGCCTGTAACGGGAAAGTTCCTGGGTAATATTCTCACTCGGGTGGTCATTTTGCATAGCACAATGTCCCTATGTCTAGATGCGGTGCCTTGAGGAGCTCAAGGAAAATACCTTGATCGGGTCTCCCTTTGCCCAAGAAATTCATGACAAGTCTATCCCCCTCAACTTTCGCCTCTCGACGTTGGAGACCTACGATAGTTATGCAGGCGTTCTTGACGGGTCTACGACCTTCAAGGTTTTTTTGGTCGCTGGTCGAGAGACCACCAGCGATCGTTCCCGAGATGCTCCAACGAGCCAACCAGTATGTTGCGACAGAGGCACTAGTGGCAAGAAAGCACAAGGAGTCGCACAAGAGACCCCGTCAAGAGCTACCCATGTGAGCAGATCGGGGAAAGAAGAAGACCCACCACGACATGACCAAAAGAAGAGCCCAAGATGTGCAGATCAAAAAAAGAAAAAGAAAAAAAGAGGAGGTGTTTCCCAAGATGTTTAGCCAATGCCTGAGCTACGTTGCTCGGCTAGTCCAATCCCCAGTGCCCGAGCAATGTTGCTCGACCAGTCATGTATAATCAGTTGCTACTCAGTTCGTTCAATGCTCGAGCTACGTTGCCCGGCCAATCCAGTCCCCAGTGCCCGAGCAGTGTTGCTCGGCCAAGCCAATGCTCGAGCTACGTTGCTCGGTCAATCCAATCCCCAATGCCCGAGTAGTGTTGCTCGACCAAGCCAATGCTCGAGCTACGTTGCTCGGTCAATCCAATCCCCAATGCCCGAGTAGTGTTGCTCGACCAATCCAGTCCCCAATGCCCGAGCAGTGTTGCTCGGTCAGTCATGTGCAATCAGTCATTGCTCGGTTCGTTCAATGCTTGAGCTACGTTGCTCGGCTAGTCCAGTCCCCAATGCTGCTCGAGTAGCGCAGCTCGGTTTTGTCATGTGCAGCAAGTCACTGCTTAGTTCAGTCATGTGCAGCAAATCGCTGCTCGGTTCAGTCGAGATTTAAGCAATTGCTCGGCCAAACATGGG